TAGTGGACACAACAGAATTATTGTCCTGGAGTTATCCACATCAACATTGAGTCTTACTTTAATGTAAATTTTAACATGATATTATCTCCAACTGAGGAAATATACAACTCCGCGTCAAAATATTACGATATTTTTAAAAAGTCGCGCACATCAATTTCTCACTTGACGTATTTTGTGACACACGCAAGGGAACAATTTGTACTAAAGTCTAATGTGGAGCCTTACCTTTCTTGATGTTAGCAAAGTTGGCTCACTTGTGGTACTTGTTGCTGGGGAGGGGTCCTATGCAGAGACTTGATAATGGGCTGTGTCAGAATATTACGATGTTTCATGAAGTGTGTCAAAATATTATGATATTTTAATGCACATGGCGATTGAAGGGGAGGACATGATCAAGTCATCGTAAACAACATCAGGGGGTATAAAAGACTCCTTTCAGGCCTGCCTGACTCATTGTTGACGCATTTTGCTTTGACACGCATGGGCTGAAAGAAGGATCTCATCCCAGTGAACAAAGCCACCATCCTTGCACTTCATCAGAGTGGAAAAACACAGGTGGACATTAGCAAGTTGTGTGGTTATGCGCAATCAACAGTGTCTGCTGTCATCAGAAGCAGCATTGGAGGTGAACCCGCGCCTTCCAACAGGAAGAATTGTGGGAGAAAGAAAGCAACAACACCAAGGGAGGACAAAAAGCTGCGGAGAATTGCCATTGAGAACCGCATGAAGTCCGCTGCAGATCTTCGCAGTCTTTGGGCCGACGCAGGGATAGAAGCCTCGAAGAGTACTGTCCTACGCCGCCTTCATTCAATGAGGTTTGAATCACGGATTCCCAAAGTGAAGCCTCTCCTAAATGCAGCTCAGCGGAAACGCCGTTTGATGTGGGCGAGAAAATATTCCTCTTGGACGTCCGCTGACTGGTCAAAAGTCCTCTTCAGCGATGAATCAAAGTTCTGCATCACATTTGGTGATTGTGGACCAGGCGTGTGGCGACGGAGCGACAAAATATACCACCTTGACTGCACTGTGAAGTCCGTGAAGTACCCCACGAGTATTATGGTGTGGGGCTGCATGTCCTCCCAAGGTGATGGAAGTCTGTGCATCTTGAACACAACCGTGACTACCACCGTGTACCAAGATGTTTTGGAATCTTTCATAGTCCCTTCTTCTGAAACGTTGATGGGAGGTGAAGATTTCATTTTCCAACATGATCTTGCACCTGCCCATGCATCCAAGTCCACCAACAAATGGCTGGCTGACCACGGGATTGAGGTGTTGGAATGGCCAGCCAACTCCCCAGACCTCAATCCCATAGAAAATCTGTGGGGGGAAAATGAAGCGCCGGCTACAGCAGCTCCGACCATCTTTCAAAGAAGAGCTCAAGACCGTAGTCAGGCAAGTGTGGGAGGCCATCACCCATGATGAGTGCACCAAGTTGGTGGAGTCCATGCCCAGAAGAATTGCGGCAGTCATTCGCAGTCGCGGCGCTTCAACTATGTACTGACTCACACTTTTGTCAAATATTTCTTAAATAAACCACTTTGGACAACAACTTGAACACTTAATATCTCAGTTTTGGTCAATATCGTAATATTTTGACACATTTTTTGGAATATCGTAATATTTTGACACGCCTCAATATTCTTCGAAAGCCTAAGTACCAGAGCGGTCAAAGAAACAAAATTTTGGAACGTCTGTCATGTAAATGGTATATAAACTCGAAAGCTTACTCCATTTGTATTACGGTACAACTGTTCCACAACTGGTTGTTGTGATTGAAGCTTTTATCTACATCGAAAAAAAGAGAATTATAGCATTATAAAACTGCGCCTCAACATAATGTTCTCCAGATGCAAATTAATTGGACCTGAAAGTTCTACCCTTGGAAGTTTAAATGGACCAGAAAAGGTTAAGATATCCAAACTTAAGATGAGAAGCGATTAACCCTTTTATAGGGCAAATCTTTGGGATAGCAAAATAATGTATCTTACCATGCCAGACTCACATAGTTGAGTGTAACAACCATCATGCAGACGTGATAAATGGGCAAGTTTGAAAAGTGGTATGTATTCTTACCAGGGAATGTTTGGAGAAGTGGTCTAGGACATTAAGGTTCATTTGGAGTAGGAATTCAATGGGAAGTAGCCCATTATGACAAACTGTAAATATACTTACCAGTAACCTAAAAAGGATTAACTTGGAGAAACTTTCAATACTGTAGAATTAAATGTTCACTCCCCAGGAAGGGAAAACACAAATTCAGAATCTAAATTTGACACAGCTAATTTGGCATTCTGTATTCGGTTTTTTTTGCTGGATAGGGGTTGGGAAAATGCCTATCAGTGTTATTTCCATAGAGAAAGTTAGAAATGGTCCATTTACCCTTTCACATTCAATGACCTTTTCCCCTTATAAGCCCTCTAACTCCTTCAGTCCTGAATTTAAAATATGATGTAAAAACGAAATTTCCTTATTCAATCGTCTACAATGAAACATAATTATTCACAAAAATATTAATTCCAAAACAGGTCACAGGGACTCAGAAGTCCTGCTATGCCCAAAGCTCAAACATTTCTATATATCCCTACAAAATATAAGAAAGAAAAGTGGGACTCCTATGTCCCACAGGACTGAAAAGGTTAAATCCTGCAAGGTTCAAGTAAAACAAGTTTCATACAAACTGCATCACAAAAATTGAAGTATGTCTGAATTAGTCTAACTAATTAGTCTAATTAGTTAGTCTAACACATTTGATATCAAAATTTTCAGAAAACTCTCAGCTACACTATGATGATGTTTATTACTCCCATATAGTAATTTTTCGCAGTGTGGTATGCCTTGAAATGTTCCACACACAAGTTTCAAATGCATACCAGTAAACTTGTGGTCGGCTTGACCAGGAGTGCAAGTGTGTACCAGTGTGCTTGTAGATGTGGATGAGTTAATTTCATCAACCATTGTTGCAATCACAATCAGTGCATTCATGTAAACGAATCACTACAGATGTTGCTCAACAGGAGTTTTTAAGTATCTCAGTCTCAGAGAGTAACTGTAAAACTCTTTGTAACATGTTCCCAAATGAACTCTAATATCACATACCATTTATGCGGTGTATAATAAGAGGCACATGTTTTTATGACCTTGTCAGTCTTCTCCTATGCCATAAATAATTGTGGCATAATCTTTAGCCCTCATGTTTTGCCCTGTGGTAACCCATGTTATGAATCCAATTGCAACCTCCAAATCAAGTCTTTCCAAGAAAAATGCTGGAATAGCTCTAATTGTAATCCAATGATTTTGATTTAATCTTGAAGTCAATGACCTGATTGAAGTGAGTAACTTAAAGCATTTTTTGCGTAGGTAAATGCTCATTTTATTTTCATCACATGAATACCCATATCCTACATGTTTACTATGTGATTTGTGACCTTAACCTCTTCAGACCCTGTGGCGTGTACACATGCCAAATATCAAAATGTTGAAACCATTGATCAAATCGCTTTGACTTTATGGATCACAGTAAGCCATTGCAGGGTTAAAGTGAGCTCCTGAAAAATATATACGGACCTCGTTGGACTCCGTCTGCATCACAGCAGCGGCTTGTGAAATTGTGTGTGAATCATCTGTGAATATGGTCGCCCGCATCGCCTCTGACCGTAAAAGCTCTTGTCGATTGCTCATTATTGACCCCATAATTTGGATGCACTTTGAAGTGCATTGTAATATAGTGTGGGAAACTATTCAGAAATAAGGGATCTCTGACTTCCTAAAGAGCTCGAATAGGATAAGTCAAAATATGGATTACACATGCCACGAGGCATTGCACCAGTAAATTTGCGTTTCAGTGTCCAATTACTCGGAACTCCCTCATCAGTTTGGATACAGTGGCATTGATCTATCTGAGATGTGTTCAAGCCGGTTCAAGCCCTTCCAGCACTAGGTTGACATGGATATTGGTGGATCCAATGACCGGGGGAGGGGGAACCACTCATGATTGTTTCAGATACATATTCGCAAGCAATGCCTCCTGCTTCAATGCTACCCAGGGAAACATTTTCTTAGGTGCTGTTCACATACCGGGTAATTGAAAAAGTGAGAACCACAGAACAAGGGATTACTGACCGCTCCTAAGCTAGTGGGGTGGAAAGTGTGGGGTACCAAGGTGTTTTAGTATTTTCGAGATACCGTTCAACCTAATTACAACTATTGTTGACGCAATGTCAGTGACTGGGCCTAGAAACATTTTCGAATATGATCCTAGGATTACCGGCTTTCATAAGCTAATTTTACCGTAAAAATAAATGCATGATGTCAATCGCACACCTCTATGGAGACAAACCCGGTGGCATGTACACATGCCACTCTATTCCTCCAATACCAAGAAGGAATAAAACCTTGACTTCCTTGCTTTGCCTAACGGAGGTGGAGCTTAGGCAACGAGCCAAAGGATTTCAAAATTGGCATGCAATTTTGCCGTCTAGTCTGAAGAGGTGTTAAAACTTGGTCAAATAATGTCACTTCCTTTTTTCCCAATAATATCATAGATTGATTTGGTTTGCCAAACTCCGAACTTGATAGCATTATGAAAGCCAAACATGATTTCATTTAACCCACCTCTGAAGGGTACAGGCAGTGTCAACAGGTAATTCGCAAGTGTAGGATACTATGGGCCGCAAATGAAATCAACTGCAGGGAATTGTACTCTATGAGTAATCATCGTGGGAATGTAGGAATTTTGTCATTTTTTGAGGATTTGGTTGATATGATGCTTTTATTAGAAAGCTATGAAATTTCCATTTGGATACCAAGAGTTAAGTTATTGTATGTCATCAATTTTAAAACTGATCCTGATTTGCATACACATTAAAAGTGAATTTTCCAGACAGCTACATGTGATCCACACATTCCACATTAAACACTACAGTTAAAAATCTTACCTGTCAAAAGGCATAATTGATGAATTGATGTAGAAGTGATTAGTTGATGTGAATTCTCTACAGGTGAGGAAATATCTTCTTATGCTGGACATTCGAAAGTCTCACGTCAAATTCTGGCGTCCGCAAGTCCTGTTGTTGGTGGCAAATCCTCGCTCCTCTTGCCCCCTCATTCAGTTTGCCAACAATCTCAAGAAAAGTAAGTCCATGGGTATGAACAGACATATAAGGACACGTTCGAGGGATGATCCAAAAGTTTCTGCTCTGAGATAGTAGAAGTAATCGGAGAAGGCTGTAAGTTGGTCCCTCCACGTTCATCCTTGTTGGTACTTTCAAGGGTTATCAATTTGTTTTAGGGGCATTTATATACAGTATAAGAGTATTTTTAATCATTTGTATATGTGTTCCAACCAAAAGTTTTTTTCCATTTCAAATTGGCAACGTTTTAATACGGAGCAGTTATGCAATTTTGTTAGGGTTGTCGATCGATTATAAAATTTAATCGATTTTTAATCGCGAGCCATTTAATCGATTAATCGGTCAATTAATCGAGTTTTAATCGATTCCTTTGTTCCTCCTTGAATAATGTCCCAGGCATTGGGCATGAGTCTGCTTTTGTCATGTCCAACACCTAGGCAAGCCTCCGGAAGTGACTCAAGGAGATGCAGTCGCTAATGTAGCAGTTACCATCCATACGTACACTATTTCCACCTACATGTGACACATTCCAATCGGCGAGAGTATAATTACAGCGTAGCCAGAAGAATCGTGGAACATAGGCAAAGAAGCGCACCGAGGTCCTTTGTCATTTAGCCAACCCATGCGAGTAAATCAGGCCGAACTGGAGCGATTGTGTTATCAGATTTTAAAATGCAGTAACTCATAGAGTAATGAACTGAATTTGACGAAATTCGAAACATAAGTAACGTCAGGGCGCATTCTTTTAACATATATTGGCAGTGTTTGAAGCATTATTCTGGGGCACACATAACAGAGATAATTGAATTTGCCCCACCCATAACGCGTCTTTGCCTTAGTACGCTCAGAACATTCTTCTGCCAAACAAATACCTCTTCGATTTTTTTTCAAGCACATGGCACAACATTACAAAAAATCATTTTCAGAATGCACTCCAACTGCTTTCAGAGGCAGTGTAACTCTAGCTTTGCCAAGGACTTTAGGTGTCTTCAGAATTGGCCCTTATTGGCAACCCGTAACGATAGCGTCTTCAATAGGCGAATTGAAAATGATGAGCTGATCTTTGTCACCTGAAGACGTTATTATCCCTACAGGAATTGCAGATAATTGGAACCATCATAGTTCTGCAATAATTTTGGAAATAATTTTTTTTTTTTTTTTTAAATTATATTTATTTTACCCATAAATTTCAAGCATAACTGCTCCACCCATAACACGTGTCTTGCATGCTTACTCTGTTATGTACAGGACTACAATTGCTGATGCTGATGCGCATTGTCGCCCTATGATTGGAGACTGGAGGGTGATACATTTGTACAAACTCGTACATACGAAAGGGGAAATTTCAAGTCAAAATTGTCCCACTCGTAACATTTTCTGTTAATCTTTCATAATCAAATTAAGCACTGGCAATTTTATTTTGAAAATTTATGCTGCTTAGTATTGAAAAATTCAAAATTGTAGTCTCCTAGGCGAAACCGTCCCGAAGATATCATGTCAAACACTGACAAAATGGCCGAAATGATGTATACTCTAAAATTTGCAACTCTTGACATACAGTAAGTCTTAAACAACCTCCAGTCAGGAGTCCAATAGAAACTTTTAAAAATAGCTTTTTAATGATATGCAATATGTATATGATAATGTAATACGAGGTATATAACAATCTAATTTTAAACAGTTGTAAGGTTTGTCTTACCTGTAACTTTTGTTGTGTGGGACTAAAGTATCATGTGAATGCAGGATAACTTGAAATCTTGAGTCTCATGCTTTCGTGTGGTTCCCAGGTTTCACAAAAATAAGTTAGACAGTTAACAATCGAGACAAGGCTCGCATGCCAACTCTGCGCCAAAATGGCTGCATCATCGATATAACCACTGATAACCCCTGGGACCCCTGGGACACATTTGCAGAGTAATTCCACAAAAGCAGGGACATCAATGTCACATTTTGAAATCCTGTATTTGATGCCAATCATGGATGGCTCTGGGTTTTTTTTGGGAGCAAAATACTTCCTGGAAAATGCGTCTCTGACAAGAACGTAAAGTAAAAAGTAGAACAGTTGTGCGGAATGACCATCATCGTTCCAATCATAGGTACAACTGGCGTCGTCCTGAAAGACCTCAAGGGACATGTCAGGAAACTGGAGTGTGAAATCTCACTCGATATTCTCCAGCGTACAGCAATCTTGGGCACGGCCAGCATCCTCCGCCGTATCCGTCAGAATTAGCCGAGTATGAGGTCTGGGATGTGGTTCATCTCCCCTCATACCTCCAATACCATGGAAGGATTTATATATATTCTAGCGGCCGCTACGCTGGCCGTCAAATAGGCGGAAATTTGAATAGTCTATTGTGAGCATAACGTCTCCTTGACATCCTCTGTTCATCGCATTACCCATTCGGAACTGAACCCTTTCATTAGATTTATACACATACAGCCTACAGTACACAGGGAGATTTTGTTCCTAAACACCATCATCATGATATTCGAGCTCATTGCCACAATCGCCATTGTGAACGCCTCGGTTTAGCAGGTTTTCATGAGACTCAAGACGACTTTTCTGATTTCATTGTCCCAGCACATTCAGTATTCTTGCATCACCGATTTGCTCATGGGCTATTAGCCATTAGCTTCTACAATGGTACAGATACCACTAACTGTGAAACAGTACGGGCCATTTCCATGAACTTGTTCGACTTTAGCACAGAAGGGAGTTAGCACACGTGCGGTACAATGCTAACGAACAATTCATGAAAATGCCTTGCCGCCACATTAGCACCAGTTAGCAACACTTTCAGAGTCTCAGGGTAAAGTGTGAGTTGCAGCAGGAGCACTTTTTCCGTTGTGGCAGCTATGTGAAACAAATGCCCCCTCCCTACAGCAAAATGAACAGCCTGACAGTGCTCGCTGCGGCAAACGACTGTAGTTATTGAATGACATGGAGAGGCACGACAAAATGTCCCGAGTTCCGTGGTGTAATGACAGCCTGACCGGCAAGCAGGAGATGCGGGTTGCTTATATACAAACCCTCCTCGATTTCGGCACTCGCAGGCAAGGCGGGTAAAGACGCGTGAGAGCGAGAGCGTGAAGGCGCGTGAAAGTGCGTGAACGCGGACGCATGCCTACACCAGCTTACAGCAGCCCTCGTTTGGCCTGTGAAGAGTTTGCCGCTCTCTCGCTCTCCGCGCGATTTCGTTAACAATGGTATCCCAACTTGCAGACTAATACTTTCGACGGTGCTGCGTTCCTTGCATCAAGATGCTCAGCAGGCTGCACGGCTCTCCTATTCCTGAGATCAGCATTCGCTAATCTTGCTGTTCAGCTGTCTGAGCGGCCCTTCGCTCCCTACGTACAGCTGCGTGCTGTTCGTCACTCATTCTAGTCATTACGGCTAGCACCTCCTAAAGCATCGATTTAGGCACTTCGCACCGCAACTGCAGTGGCAAACGTTGTTTGAGACTGTTGTAGAGTTTGTAGACTGTTGTAGAGACAGTACTGGCATGAAAGGGTTGAAGATTCATTATCGATTCACGGGCAACACAGGATAGAAGAGTAGAAAAAGCAAGGAAGTTTCACACTTTCGTTTCCTCTTCTCTCGCTTGCTCCCAGCTTTTCCCCTCCGCCGGTTACTTCCCGGGGGCTCCCACAGACCTTCGCCGGCACTCTTACACGTATGCCTGTCCCACATCCCTGTGTAAATCCCCTATTACGACTTTATTTTCCCCGTTCGCATCCAGTGACTCTTCGGTCGCTCTAGGCCACTGCTACCTTCGCCTGACGCGCGAGGCCTGCAAGGCTATACGGGATGCGTACAAGTACGCTTGTGGATGGGAATGGATCAAGAAGCTTCTTTTTTTGAATAGTCTGAAAGCGATAGCTTTGGGCCGATTGCATGAACGATGTTTTCGCTGTGATTTTCGAAAGTCATCGGTTAACCGATGTCTAAGGCGAAAAATGGATTGCATGAACGCTATCTTCCTTTAACCATTGTCTAGCCATCGGCTAAAAGAAGCTGAAAAGGTGTAACTTCTAGACAAGGGATGGGGCATGTTTTGCCGATATTTATGTCAGTACTCGTGCACTATCCATCAGCATAGTACTCCACTGTATAAGTGAAACACAATGGATTACCTTTATGGAGTCGCTCAATATCAGCGATGTGCTCGTCTTCGCATGGGATAAAAAAACACCAGTTCAAGGCTCTTTGAAAAATACGACGATGAAAACTTCCGCGTGAGATACAGATTTGGAGAAGCAGCTAGTCGATCATCTAGTCGAAATGCTCCGCCCTGAACTTCAAAGTGAAGAAAGTCGTGGAAGGGATCCTTTGACTTTGCATCAACAGGTCAATAAAGGCAATAAAAATTCAGGTGCAATGGGACACGGTCTCTGCACGAACTTGTTCCATGACCATCTCTCGAGAGTATTTACCTCATTCCTAGTAGACTTAGAAGAAGTCATTTTCTCTTCTCCCTAGCCATGCAGTAGCGTAACCGAGTAATTGAGTCCCTAAGTAAAAAGAATGTCATGAAAGCTATTCAATTCTCAGGTTCTGCTAACCCCTCGATTTTATGCGACGTCATCATTTCAAAGAGTCCTGGGTGATCTTTCTGTAGTCGACGCTTCTACTGCTTGTAGATGCGTAAACCAAGTTTCATAGGCCATTACGCATTTTCGTCCTCAAGTCATTAAATTCCCAGAAGTTCAAACTATCAACTAGAAGTCCAAAAACAATTTTTTGCTGTTGCTTGCTTTCCTAGTGATCGGCGCCATCGACGGGTGTCATATTCGTATAGAATGCCCTGATATCAACCAGGCGGGAGCTTTCATCAACTAATAAAGGTTAGACACGAGTCCAAACCAAGTTCTTTTATTTTACAGCACTTAGAGGAGGTCAAAATACGTCACACTAAACTGTCAACTATGGAAGTAACCAAATCCAGATCTGCTCACACTCATGCTTTAATTTCTTTCATTTGGAAGATTCGCATCTTGATGTCATGTTCCTTTTGGGCCATTTCCAGCAGATGGTCATAGAAATCCGCTTTTCTCTTTTTTGCCTTTGGCAGACTTTGTTCTGGATCAAGATTTTCTCTTGATGTCGGCACTAACCTCTATGAAGAAGTAATGGCAAGCATTTTCAAAACCACAGTTCATATTGGTGTAGCCAAAATGCCTATTCGAAACGAATCTGGGAGTAACCAAGTGAAGGAATTGGCTTTAATGTAAGTGCCGTAACTCTTGAATAGCTCTCATTTTCTTTTAGAATTAAGGGTGTTCATGGGGAGTCATTTACGTATTTAAAAAAAAATACAGGAATTTGAAATTGAGGAAATTCCCATAATCGACATGTTGTGTGAGAGCGCAGAGAATCTTAGGCAAAACCCTGATACACTGTGCACTAACCTGTTCGAACTTCCTGAGGCTTGCCTTCGCTATCCGAATCAAACGGATTGTGAAGCCGACTTTTGGCATGAGGAGGGAGCACAACTTCCTTGATGTAATTGCTCAACTCATCCATTTCAGGTGGCTTCTCTCCTCCGCCAGTCTTCTTCGCCTCTTTGCGCTGCTGATCGCGATCTTGAGTAGCCTTGACCTTCCATCTGTTCCACAGCTCCTTCAATTGGTCAAGGGATCGGGTGTTTCCATTGGGGCACGAGGAATTGTAAGCGTCATGTATCTGAAATCATAAATGATTCGACTGTACTGAGACTGTACTAGCCTGATACTGAGATTTGAAGTGCCAAATAGCCTTTTATAGGCGATCGCCCATAGTTTCCTTAGAGTAAGTATAGTAAGTATCCCGGGTTCTCCCATCTCGTTATACACTCACTTATAGACCCACTTTTCAGACTTCTGACTTGTCTGTGTATGCAAATCTCCAAGAACACCTCTGATACATTGAAATACAGAGCAGGATCAGAGAGAACTTACCATTTTCCAGGCATTGTTCTTCTTATGCAAGGAGTCTGCATCGTATCTCCTGCTCTCTACCTCTGGATGTTCCTTGACAATCTCCGCAAGATGAACTTCATCACCAGAGGAAAAGTTCTCCTTTTTCACACTTTCGTTCATTTTTTTCGAAGTGCCACAGAAGCCGAGAGGTTAGAACATGCTTTATATGCATGAAGAGCGGTTAGCCATCGTCTAACCATTGGCTATGAAAACGTGGCTTAGGGATCGTTCACGCAGTCGAAAGTAGACATCGGTTAACCGATGTTTTCGTACACAGTGTTTAAACAATGACTATCGATAATCAACGTCTAAAATAAACATCGTTCATGCAATCGGCCCTTTGTTTTTGTGTGTTCCCTTTTTCCAAAAATAGCAATTTTTGAGGAAGAGTGAACAGTGCGAAAACCACTACCTTCTACTACTAGCTTCAAAGGGCCGATTGCATGAACGATGTTTTCCCGGTGTTTTTCGAAAGTCATCGGTTAACCGATGTCTAAGGCCAATCTTATCTCCTGCTTTCTACCTCTGGATGTTCCTTGACAATCTCCGCAAGATGAACTTTATCACCAGAGTAAAAGTTCTCCTTTTTCACTCTTTCGTTCATTTTTTTTCGAAGTCCGAAGGGCCACAGAAGCCGAGAGGTTAGAATATGCTTTATATTCACGAAGAACTGTTAGCCATCGTCTAACCATTGGTTATGAAAACATGGCTTGGGGATCGTTCACGCAATCGAAAGTAGACATCGGTTAACCGATGTTTTCGTAGACAGTGTTTAAGCAATGACTATCGATAATCAACGTCTAAAATAAACATCGTTCATGCAATTGGCCCTAAATGTCCAGAAATGAAAGCCATGCCTTAAGATCGCACGCTCCTGAGGAGTCAAGCTCTCCCCCTTTGTCACCTCCGAATGGAGGGGGGTAAGGGTAAGCGTGAGAGCTGAGAGTTGGTAGCTGATCTTACAGCTCATTCTTAATTGTTCCTAGTCTGTCGTGGACGAGCGATAGGCATTGTTCTAACTACTCCCTGCCTATCCTTCGGCTATTGGCTATTCTGAGTTCTGATCCAATTCTATTCTGTGGGATCAGACATTCCCGACCGCCTGATTCCTCTCTTCCCTCTGCAGTATATTTCCCCGATCGCATCCCTCTACGTATCGCTGATTGAATTGTTTACTAGCTTGATCCCTCAAAGGCGTGGAATCCCTTTTATCATGTATGGCTAGAGGCACCACTCCGCTCGAATCCCATTCACTGACCGAGTCGCAATATATCGATGTCACTGTCGATCCTCCACCTTGCGTGCGCACATCAAGAACTCCTCCATGGCCGAGCAGCGGACGCGACGAGATTAGCGTGTTACGATGAGGGATCCATTCCGGTCGAATCCCCGAACGAGTCGATTACCGATTCCGCTGCCACGAAGCACGCCTCATGGAAGTGTTCTTCATAACAGGCAGAGCCGTAAATACCCCATGTGGCGCCCCGAGGCAGGGAGTCATGGACCCCCCCCCTCCCCTGGCATTTTCCCTGACTTGTACCTGTCAGTCCTCCAAGAACTAGTACCTGCGTATCCAGTTTGCACGCCCTCCCTTTAAGTGAATGGCAAATCCATGTTGGCTTTTTTTAAATTCAAGTATACGGAAGAGTCATTCGCTCTTGAGTATCCCAAGAGTACTCATTGACACGCTCGCGAGTCCCCCTCTATAATTAGGGTTCAGGAAAAAGCTACCTGGAAAAAAGACCCCCAGAATTGACAAAAGCTGAAAAAAGCCACTCGGGTGGTTGCTTCGTAATTATTCATTTATCTATATTTATGCATATCAGGTATTTAAAGACATTCATTTGGCGATGTTGAGATACATTCACGGAGGGATGTGGCTCATAATTATCCATGTTTTTAATATTTTAGGGCGAATTTCCATCAATCATTCAAGTAAACTATCACTGACTTTTCGTTCCCATTTAGAAGAAATCGATGGAAGATGCAAAGCATCGCTCGATTGGAAGCACTTCTTTAAATATTTAAAAAAAATTAATTTTCCTACTTTGATTATGAAGGGAAGAAGGACTGTTCAGCAGGCAGAATGCACAACTTGCAGTCTAGCGGCAAATTCAGACTTTCAGAGTTCATCTTACGCGTAATTTCAAAGCAGCTACTTAAACAAAGTCGGAGTAAAAAAAACATCAAAATCGGAAAAATCATTTACGGACACCCTGTATAATTATAGCACAGCTTTCCTTGCTTTGCGAAACGCAAAGGAACACAAAGAAACGTCAATTATGATCAAAATCCACTTTCTTTGCCGCTTGGTTTTATTTTCACTGTGCAACACTTTCTTTTTTCTGCGCATTCGCCTTTCGCTTGCTTCGCTCCCCGCCCTTCTCGGCGCCCCCTTTCTTAGGTGGCGCCCGGGGCAGATGCCCCCCCTTGCCCCACCTTATTTACGGCCCTGATAACAAGCCACCAGATGTCTCTGTAATATTTCGGATCTCCCCCCCCCGCCTCCCCTCGGAGTGCCGCCTCTAGTTATACTCTGTACTCTATGGGTAGAATAACCGCGGCACTCAGAAAAACCGGACTCTAAATTTCTTCGCTTTCTTTGTTGCAGAGTGGAGTGGCAGAGTGCTATTCCCACGAGCAGGAGGACTTTCAGCTCAATTAATTAACCAAGGATGATTATTTTTTGCTCTATGATATTATTCTTGTTTGTTCTTTAGATCCCGTCGATCCTCGTAGACTTACCAAAGAGCAAAGGATTGTGACCTTTGGTTCATCGATCGGGTAAATTTATTTACGGGCGAATAGACGTGATTGAAATACTGGATCCATCGCCATCCATCCATCGGTCAGTCCGGCTTGAAGATCGCCCGCAAGTTCCACCGCCCAAGGGTTCTCCTCGCCTTCCCGGGTGGGGAGACGCCGTTCCGAGACGCATGACGCTGGATGTTGCGCTCACGTGGGCCTATGATGGAATGTCGACAGACCTCGATTTTGTGAGTCGGGAATTTGGCTGCGGGAATGGGGGCCGAGCATGGAGCGGACATCTGGACGTTGGGGAGCCCGAGTTGGACTCTGTCGGCGCGGATGCTGACATCTATGCCGATGACGTGGAACCCGAATCGGATGGTTATCCGTTATGGGGCGCTAACTTCGACCAAATCGAGCTAGTTGTGGGTTCGAGTGGTCCCTGCGGTTTAGTATTCGCCGGCGAGCGCTGAAACTGAGCACCGTATAAATCCCAGAACCGTGAGGGCCCTCGATAGATGAGATTGCTCGTTCGGTCTCTCGCTGTCTCTGAATGCTCGCGCGCCAATGGTCTCGGACGTTGGCATTGACGTGGCTGGAAAAAAAAAAAACAGTTCCCAACTACAGTATTTGATGGGAGTAATGGCGTGCCCAAGGGGAGGGTAGGGTTATGGGGATCATAACCCTTTCCCCCTTCCCCCAGGCGGTTTTTCTGGGTACGCTACTGGATGGGAAGTATTATCTCACTTACCTCAACATACGTTAGAAACATGCACATGGTTACCCACGGTATGTATTCTTTCGTAAATAACTGCAAGCAATATACAAGAACGGGAGTCTTCCCAAGACCGCGACGTCGGACATTTGTGGGGAAGGATACGTTTTGTCGAATAAAAGTTCAGTTGCAATTCGCTTAAAGAAAAAATGATGCCTTTGTTAGAAGGAAGATAATAATGCATCACTTGGTTGATGGCAACCCTGCATCCCATTCCGTGCTCACGTGCTAGTCGCGAGTACCGACTCGGCAGTTCAACGTGGACCTGATTTAAGAATGAAGAGGTCGGCCAGATTGATCTCCACGGTCGCGGAGGGTCTGAAGCCCCAGTTCGACGTGATAGTGGTCGGCGGGGGGCATGCCGGGGCGGAAGCCTCGGCGGCTGCTGCTCGCATCGGTGCCAGGACCCTCTTGCTGACGCACCGATTCTCGTCTATAGGTAGGCCGTGGCCTATTTCGATCTGAGCTTTCTCTCACTGTCGGTTTCTATGGGTTCAGCAATAATAGGCCTGCATCGTGATTTCGGAGTATATGGCTTTATATTTCCCAATTTATTGTAATCTTCGAATGTATATGTAACTTTTTCTTTATATGTGATAGTTTACTTGGTAAATTCTATTCTGCATCGTGGGAAGTGAGGATATACCTGCCGTAATATGTATAACATTAGGCCTATGAAGTACTTTTTAAGGGTTCAGTCAGCTCATTTAAAAAACCACTTTTACACGTAACTCAAGCTAGAAGTGTTTTCAAGAAGTTCTTCAAAAGTCAGGACATGTATGTTTTTCTCTCCTAAATGCTCTCTTGATATGAATGTGCACGTGTCCTGTCTGCCAGGGGGAGCAGATATGCTATTAGGCTTATGCTGGGAGAATGGCCATATAGGCCTAAAATGATTACTATGGCCAGTCTTCATCATTTTGACATTATATTGAAAAATCCCCGTTTTACAGGTGAAATGTCCTGTAATCCTTCATTTGGGGGAATTGGGAAAGGTCACCTGCTGAAGGAAGTGGATGCTCTGGATGGCATTGCACCCCGAGCCTGTGACATGGCTGGCATACATTATAAGGTTAGCATTCACCTGAAATCATATCTTAATTTCTCAATTTGTGACTGCTTATGAATGATATCATCCTTGAAAAGAGAAAACTTTTTGAAAGGTTAAAAGTTGTGAAACAGCAACCAGGAATATAAGAATAAATCATTATTGTCCTAATCTGGCTTAATGGTTGGAAGCTCTCTAACATGAGCAATAAAATCATTTAAATTTTAAAGAGAGGTCAGCCTGATGATAAAAAGGTACCAAGTATGGAAGTGTCAGTTTTGCACCTCCATGAATCCTTGCTACAATCCAGGCATTTTTAGGATATTGGCCTATCTCAGCCTTACTACCCTATAAACATTGAAATTTGTTTTATTGAAACTGTTTCAAGTGATTGAAATTAAAGGGAAATGTAAATCTCTAAGGTGAGTCAATTTTTGACAAGTTTTTATAGATCCAATCATGTAGTAGCATCAAATCTTATAACAGTGTGTTATTGAATCCTCATCCTACGGTTTCTTCTGAAATGAGATGACTCTCAGGTTATGCATGGAATGTTATACAGATGCTAAATCGAAGAAAAGGCCCAGCTGTCTGGGGTCCTCGGGCACAGATGGACCGTCAGCTCTTCAAGGCACAAGTCCAGCGCATTCTGAAGGCTCAGCCAGGTTTGGAGATCCAGGAAGCTGAAGTCACAGACATCCTGGTGGAGCCAGATGTAACAAAGGCATCACCTGTCTGTGCAGGTGTTGTCTTAGGTGAGTTGGTTCCATAGTCTATGTTGCTGGCTATTCAGTTGCTGTTATTGAGAAAGTAGAAAATTAGGGATTCTTTTTTTTGTGCTTCCAAAGTGAGAAGAAACTGCCTAGTTCAAGCATATCAATGAAGTGCCAGTTCTGTCTGGTGGTATGGCTTTGTGACTTTTAGATTAAAGAAAGCATTATTAGCTTCATTTTTGCATATGAAAGGGAAAATCAAATATTTTTCCTTCTTTTATTTTGTTGGAGACTGCTCCTGTTGGAAGTCTACAAGAAAATCAGAAAATAAAGGTAATTCAGCTTTTAAGTTTGAAGAGCTCTTATATGTTTAAATGATGAATAATTAACGACTCTTAGAATGCAGTCTTGACGAAAGTTTCCATGATAAATCCTATGACTTTATGCAACCTATGATGCTGATAACTAAAAAAAAAGGATTGGGCAGATTTTATGAAGGAATAGAATCATCAGTAAAAAAAACAAAAAGGATGAAAAGTGAGGATATACAAGTTTCTTTTCTGCACAGCTTCAGGAGAAGTTATCAGGAGCATGAGTGTTGTTCTGGCAACTGGAACATTCTTGGATGCTGAGCTCCACCTTGGGTTGAACATTAGGCCCGGAGGTCGCATTGGGGATAAAGCTGCGACTGCCCTGGCCACAACCCTTCGTCAACTGGGATTTCTCACTGCCAGACTGAAGACAGGGACACCCCCTCGTATTGATGGGAGTACTGTGAACTGGAAGAAAACCAAGGTTCACCCTCCAGATTATCCTGCAACGCCTTTCAGCTTTCTCAACTCTCGGGTTGCCATACGGGTGAGGAGCTTAATTTTTCACCTGCCTCTTATCACTTAGTTCCAATTCTTTTCATCTGCCCTATGGATAATATCAATTTTTGAAATTTAAAGTTTACTGTCCCTCATAGGTCCTTGCATATTTGGTGAAGAAAAAAAACAGTTCATCATTGCTGATGTAATTCATCAAGTTTTCTTTCCTTACTTCTTTGTACTATTGATGGGCATAAAATAAGAGATTTCTGATCCTCTTAGAATCTTTTGTGGATGTTGTTGAGACTTAGATTTTTAAAAGTTAAATTTATTTACCAGTTGCATCCAGTTAAATTCATAGTTCTTGCAGCAATAGTGAATGTTGGTGGACCTGGAAATTATTAGGATGAGGAACAGCTGGATTGTCACATGACTTGGACAACAGAGGAGGTGGAGCACATTGTGCGGGATAGTATTCACCTTAACTGCCATGTGAAGGAGGAAGTGTCGGGCCCACGCTATTGCCCCTCCATCGAGTCCAAGGTGCTTCGGTGAGTGTGAACATTAGAATTGGCATGTTCATTTTTTGTTCTTTAGAGTATTAAAGGACTTCCATGCATGGACATTGGAAAGATCTGGAACTGAATGTCACACAGAAGAACAGAGAAAGGAAAGTTAAGGTGTAAATAGCAATATGTGGAAGAAAATTTTACAGGGAAATTCTGATTAAGATGTGAATATGGCAACAGGACAGAGAAGAAGAAAACCATGAAAAAATAAGTGGGTAGGGAACGATATAATATACATTGTCATTTGAGTGTGTTGCCTTCACCAGTGGAACCACCCTAATATGTAAATAAATGTTTTCTTTCAAATTTAAGAGCAAATCTTCATTGAAAGGTCTTGAGACTAATTAGTTGTCAGAGTTTTTCCCCTGAATTGATCAGTACAGAGAAACCTTTCCTAGTTCATTTTTATGATTGTATGATACTATTTATCTATGTTTCCCCTAGATGTCTGCAAGGCAAGTTAATGAATAAACAATAGTATGTCTAAAATAGGTCTGTATCATTATTTGAGGAGTTTTACCATAAATCAGAGAGTTTTAGATTATATTTATTTTTAATACTTACAATGGCTAGGTTTTTTTATGTTAAAATGCCTTTCAATTTTGACCTGAAGGACAGACAGCTGGGAATATATTTTAATCCTCTAAATTATAATGAGACATATTCTACTTGATTACAAAAGTTGAGCACTTTCTTCTCAACAAAAAGTTTTAAAGTTCTGCAATTTTAATATTCAATTATTTAAGAATGTTAGATTTTTTCACTTTTCTTATTGACCCTTACGAAAGTCTGTGGGAAGGTCAGACATTACTTGTCCTGCTCTCCCCATATTTTCCTGCTAATCTTGAGAAACTGCAGAAGTTCTAGAATATGGGAATGGAGATCAAATATGGGGAAAGATGCATGCATTAAACAAGTTTTTTGGACATCTTGGAAATCACAAACACCCAGTTGCATTTGAGAAATTAGTAAAAATTCTCATATAACACTTAAAACAAAAGAATAAGTTTGCATGTGACATGTATTATATGTGTGCATGCTCTCTTCATGTTTGTTTATGAAAGTACAGATTTGATAAGAGGAATTGTGTGAAAGACTATGAAAGTGAAGAAAATCATTGTATATTTTTTAAAATTGAGGATGGGGAACCTGTTATAGTTTTGGTGGTCGGAGGCACCAGGTGTGGTTGGAGCCAGAGGGCTTTTGTTGCCGAGAGGTGTACCCACAAGGCCTGTCCTGCACCATGCCAGAGGACTACCAGGTCCAACTTATCCGTTCTATTCCTGGCCTGGAGACTGCAAAGCTTCTCCGCCCTGGTGATTCTTTCCTGCTCTCCCTCCAGCTTTCATAGGAGACTAAGGAAAAACATACATCAAACAATAGAGAAGGATATTCCATTCATCAATTATGAAATCAGTGAGAAAATCTCCTTGAAGAAATGAAATCCTTGGAGTAGTCATAACTAATACATTTTAGGAATTACAATAGCTTCAATTTGATCTCCAGTTAGCATGTTCGCAGTTCAAGACCATTAAGGCATGTTAGAGAAATAACTTATTAGACATCACTCCAGTTGAAAGTCCATCATTAAATGAATAACTGTAAATCTCCAGACATGAACAAAAGAGGGTAGGAGTGGATGAAATCCAACCTAATTAAAAGATAGGAGACCAGACATTGTTCTTCCTAAAAATGACCAAGACTACCTAAGTAATGCAGGTAGTTCTCCTCATTTGCAGAATGAAAAGGAATTCATAGGACCCCATATAGGTGGAGGAATAAATGTGGGAAAAGGTCCTGAGGTTCCTAAAATTTAAAGGAATTGGCTTGGATATTCTCAGCAACTCCTTGGAGGATGATTGGTAATATTTCTGCTAATCTGTAGGTGCAATGAGACCATTGAAGAGGAATATTTCTCAGGGTATGGGGTGGAGTATGAGCACGTGGATCCACTGGAGCTTTCAGGGACCCTTGAGACACGGCGCCTCCCTTGCCTCTTCCTGGCAGGGCAAGTGAATGGCACAACAGGGTATGAGGAAGCTGCTGCTCAGGGTATCATAGCTGGAGCAAATGCTGCTCTCAAGGTATTTCCTGTCATTCCTAATCTCACTCTTTACCAGAGTCTCTGAACAAAGTGCAACCTTTAAATCAGTATTTCCTTCATGGTGGATTGTGAACGGGGGTGTCACAAAGGAGTCACAAGGTGATTAGGAAGATGGAGTCTTTCACTCCCCCCCTTTGGAACTGGCAGCATATTTACTAAGTAGAAATTTTCTATTTTTTGCCATTTCCCTGCTGCAGTGGCTCTCAAACTTTATTTCACTCACATTGAACCTTCATACATCCAGGGGGTTGTGACCCCCAGTTTGAGAAACTCTGCCCTACTGGGAACATCATAGTAAGTAGTTCATTAATAGTTTACATTGTTTTCAAACCAGATAAAAAACCAGAGCTGCTTATGCTTAGGAGCCTCAAAGTGACAACAGTTGTGACTTGACTTGAATGTGACTTGAACAGTTGTGTGTTTAGAAATAGCTGCTTAAAGGCAGATGAATGTGCCATTCCTTACATTTTGTAAGAAATGTTGCATCATTTTACAGGTTCATGCATTGAATTAAAGTGAGATCCCTAGGTGAATTGACTCATAAAGGGAATCCTAAAGATGGTTTCTGATGAATACCCTTCATCACCCTGAATAAGTTGCACTGCTGCAATACTGGTTTTTCATGATTATTCAGATCAAAAGTAAATTTAGGCCAGAATTGCTTGATAAAAAGATACCCTATAGCTTAAAGTGTACCTGTTTTTGACTGAAAGTCTTGCTGCTTTTTTCAGTGCGAAGCTGGTGAATTTCAGGCTGTATTTAAAAAAAAATACATTTTCCATGTAGAACTGGATTCTTCCCTCTTCAAATTTTCAAAAATGTGTAATTAATTTTTAATAAGATGAGAATTGGGGGCTGCAGATTGTTGGCCTCCTATGAAACAGGGTTACAGATTTGAAAACATTTGAGAATGCTTGTGCTAAATCAATGGTCCTTCTTTGAAATTTATTTTCATATCTTAGTTCAAGCCACAATGAGTTATTTAATCTCAATCATGAAATCTTATATTTCATATATTCAAATCAAGAGTGCCTTTAATTTTTCCTTGCAAGCCTTTGTGGGCATTGTATAGTAACCAATATATATTTTTTCAATTTAGGTTTTTCAAGCTTGTGCTACTCCCAGATGCCTCTAACTGGTGGTGAATTTCTCAAATGAATATTTACATGTTCAGGTGCTTGAACAAGGCGAGCTGAGGGTGTCCCGATCAGAAGGGTATGTTGGGGTGATGGTCGATGACCTAACCACACTGGGCACTCCTGAACCCTACCGTATGTTCACCAGCCGTGCCGAGTTCCGGGTCTCCCTCCGGCCAGACAATGCTGACCTCCGACTCACCCGCAAAGGTAGGAGTGAGTCCAATCCATAATCATCAATGTGATATTCTGTACAGGGTGGGTGAAAAGTCGCATTAACCCTAAACTTACGCAGTTACACAAGTCCATGTGTGTACTTATGCAGACTTACGTACACACAGCGGATGCCACACTTCCACTTGAAGGTCTGTCTTCATGCGATCACACATGGTTGATCTCAGTATACCAACTTCAGATGATCTTTTTCTTGTCTACTTCTTTGGTGACTGTTCAATTGATGCTGCTGCACCAACACATGTCCATTCTTGTATCAGGTCTTCCATAGAGTTTCCTATTCTTCACACTTCCTGTTTCAAATGCATGTTTTTCCCACTGTGACAATGTCATATTTTGGATGGAGGTTCTTTCTCAAACTGTTCCCTAAATGCTGCCTTGATATCACGCATGCTTGGACCTGTGACAGGCCTTTCAGGAATCCACATACTAGCAACCATTTTTTCTTCTATTGACTAAGAGCTCGTGTCCGCCATGCTTGCGACAATACTGACTCACCTCTGTGCCCCAATGAGTGATGCAGTGATGGTGCCAATCATGGTGCAATTCTGGGGTAACATGACTTTTCACCCACCCTGTACATAGGCTTGTATGGGAATTACAGTCTATTCCCATGAAGGCTGCTCACTTTCTTACACTTCCTCTCATAGTGAAAATGCCAAAAATTGAATGTTATGAGGATGCCCCTATGTGAATGTTCCATGTTGATGACTTGACATTGATACTCTGATTATTGAGATTTTTTTGGAGTTTCTTTGGCATGCTCTGAGTGATTTTCCCCATTGCTATCAGGTTGTATGATCTGCCTTCACATGTAGAGTCCCCATTGGACATGTCACCTTCAATATGATTGAAGTGGATAGATAATTGTAATCAATGCATCTTGTGCATTTGTGTCTACCATTTTAGTAGACCCATTTAGGACCTCAGTGATATTCAACATGAATCCTACTTGTGATTCTGAGTCATAACCTCCATCAGAGCTTGATGGCTCTAAGCAAAGTGATAGGGTCCTGAGTAGATGTAAAGAAAATGAAAAAAATCTGGTACACTTAGTCTGTGCTTTTCCATTTGTGTTGGTGTAGAACCTGAGTGCAATTTTGATTCCAACATTTTGCCTCAAAATATCACAGTGAATTCACACATGAATCCTTTTCCACTCCTATTATTTGGCTTTATGCAGGACACAGATTGGGTTTAGTGAGTGAGGAGCGATACAAAAAATTATGCGAGACTGAAAAGTCCTTGAAGGACATGACAGAGACCTTGAAGGGCATCTCCCTCCCTCTTCAGACCTGGTACCGGCGACTCCATCGGAATCCTCCACCTGAGTCTTCACAGAATGCCAAGCTCCATGCTCACAAAAGGTGAGGTCTTTAAAATGGTATTGCAAACACCTCATCAAGTCAGAGTCCTGCCAATTTTGCTACTTGATAACTTGAGAATATGAGTTGAGCTCACCATATCAAGAAAGATGTCTGTGTCAGCTATCCTATTTTATAAAGTACTGTATTTTCCTATACATTGCTTAGGATATGTGACGAAAGTCACATTATTCTAATTCATTGATGCATCTTCATGTTCTACTTGATTTCAGCATACAATAACTGACAATTCTTACAGGGTGATCAAGGTCTTGATGGAGTGGTTAAGGAAAATGCAATAGTCCTTCTTACCCACTGTTGTTTTTTTTGTTTTTTTTTTATCATTTAGTGAGTTTCATGATTATTGAATATGCTTTGCTTGAATTGCATGCATTTAAAAAAAGTGAAATTTATTTAATGTCCTCTGATATTATTTGCTAGTCTCAAGGTCATGAAATCATAGCACTCCTGGTTTCTGTGCAAGTTAGACATTTTTCACATATTGGATATTTTGGCCTTGCAGATATTCTCATGATCACAGTATTTTAAGGAAATTAATGAAAACTTTAGCATGTGAATGAAAAGGGTTTTTAAGTGTCTCTTTCCATGCCTAAAATACTTATCTTTTATATCCTGGAGAAGTATTGATGTGTGTGATCAATGTGCAGTGCATGGGAGATGCTGGCACACTGGGGGCTGGATGACCTTGCCCAAGCCATCCCAGATCTCAAGGACAAACTGGACCCAGATCCCCAGCTTCTCTTCAGAATCCAGGTTAAATGCATCTCAATCTCTTATCATTATGAATGGCTCTGCAATTTAGGTCAAGGTCAATCTCTTTGTGAGTTGAGTAGAGCACAAGAAAGTAACATTTTGGACCTTTGGGAAAGTTAAAGTGAGTTGGGCTGCTGACCTAACCAGGTTTTTTTTTTCTTTTTTATATCTTGTTAAAATGAAGCTTTAATGTGGCATAAGTTTTTTAAGAAAATGGTTTGCTGCTGTCTCCATTTTCAGAGGAAAACTGAAGATAGATACTGGAATGAAAGCTTCGATAAAATGAAAGACTAAAAGTGATGCTGAATTGCTACATCTTTTAGGAAGTCTCAGTTTAGGACTTGGATTTTTATGTATATCTGTCAATGAGGGAGATGATTTATAGGCCCCACTCATACCATCATTAGTGACTTTATCTTTTGTGCTTGTATTCCTTCAATGAGTGTGGTCCTCTTGTCATACAGTTTTACCCCACAAAGCTGGAAATGTTTTGGTGTTCAGGCATGTCTAATCCCTCAAGGTTGTCAAATCTAGTTGGTCACTTAGTCCCTTTTACAGCATCTCATCTGTCGTCTTTCATTTTGAAAAGTAGATCAGAGAACATTTATTACATGTTGCCTGTCTGGGTTGTATGTATTGGTTCAGGATAAGTTTGTTCTAAATGACCTGGAATAACTATGAAATTTATACATACTTATATAAGTAATGATAATAGCCTGATTCACACACATTGGCCTGATGAAAATATATGAAGTTCTTGTAGGTATGGTGCAGCATTACTGCCATCACAGTACTAATTTTAGGCACTGGGCTGATATTGCAATGCATATACAGTTGCATCCCAACTGGTCCCAGTGTTGGCATGTGCCATTAGTTCAGTCTAAGGTACTAATGTACTTTAAACTGAACAAGAGCCAAAGGTGCTTTAACTCTCCCAAGTATGTGTTATTCAGCATCTTCAAGAGCCCATGCTACTGGCACTACCAAAGTTCATTTCAGAGTTTCAAACCTCTACAGTATTTATGTAGAGTGTCCATTGATATGTTCCTAGGATCTTACAGATGAAGCATAAGGAAAAGCATTTCATTGAGATATTGCAGAAAATATATATGGTATCAGAATCACCCCACACACAGCCTGGAAGGGTTAAGATAATTATTATTTACGATTTTTGGGGTGGTTATTTCTTTGTTCTCAAGTGCTGAAGTCCACATCAATTCAAACTTCCCAAAAAGAAAAAGAAAAACCTAAAAAATATTTCTTCTTTTTTTTTGAGAACTTGGCCCATCCCCAGGTTAATACTTGTTCCTACCCTCATATATGATGCTTCTGTTTTCTAATGAAAGTATTGCATGTGATTTGTGTGTGAATGCCTCCAATTCCTGGATCTTTCTTTTAAATTTTATTTGGCCTAAGGTTGAAGGAACATATGAGTGGATCATTGAAACACAGAAGGAGGCCCTATGTGAAGTGCAGGAGAATGAGGCTCTTCGGCTTCCAATGGATCTTGACTACAGGAGGTATAGTTTCTTATTCCCCCCTAACCCCCTAGCCCACATAACTGCTTTTCACTTGAGATTGGTGGTAGTTATTTAGTGAGTTATTTTTCAAAAAAGTTTCATGTATACTAGGTTCTACTGTTGTTCAATTGTACTGATTGAACAGATGGCACACTTATAGACAGTAGTTTCCTAACTGTATCATTACAGAACTCTGCTATTATCCCATTAATGGTTGATTTCTGAGAACTGTCAGTGATTCAATGGAAGAATCAGATTATGCATTTCTACTGATTGGAATCATAATTCATCCCTGCCTGTGGGAGTTTCAAAATGTTTGCATTGATTTTGAATTGAATAGGCTGATGTAGTGACACTTGAGACATTGGCTTGAGCACACACATGAAACTGTGCTCTGTGTGTAATCTGTCAGGATGACAGTCAGGCCAGACCCTCATTCTTTTTAATATTTTCAATAAAATAATTTATCATTCTGAGTCATGATTTGCTTCAGTTTGGACTTGGTGCTAATGGCAATCAAGCCTGTCTCTTGCATGCTGATTATTCTTGAATATCATTAGTGCTTAAAAATTTTTAATTATAAAAAGCAGTTCTTGGGGAAAACTGGACTTCAAGAAAAATCCACTTCTGATTTATTTGGGTGTGTTTTTTCTATCCTCATTCAGTTTGAATCTGAGCCTGTCTGCAGAAGCTAGAGAGAAGTTGTCAACTGCCAAGCCTGCATCAGTAAGTCAAGTTGTGACAGGTGTTTCACATAGGAAATAAACAGTGTGGACCAAAAAAAAAAACAAAGCTCTAATTTTTGGTGAGTCATCAATCTCATTGTAGGTTGCCAGTTCTATTAAATGTGGTAGGCTTGTGGGGTGACACAATTGGAGTTTTTATGTGAAATTCCAGCCTTCTGGCTTCAAAATTATAGGAGCTGTAATTATTTTCTGTTGACCCATGACAAAATCTGGTGTAGAAAATAGTATAAAAAAATGAACTTGAGACTGGGATGAAAGGGAGGACTGAATTCATTACCTTCCATCCTTGTGTGTTGCTATAGAGGAATATTGAGAGGCACTACCTCAAAGATTTATTGACTGAACCATTGATCTAAATTACCTAAACCAAATTGTGTGCTTTCAGTTTTGGAATTGGTGCATCTTGTTTTTGTCCTGTTTGTTGTTTATTTTTTGTCAGTTGTGAGAAATTTTAAGTTGAACAAAAAAAGGAACACTTATTTTATTTTGTGATGGTAAATTAAATGCCAATCTCAGTTTTAGTTTTGATTTGAAACTTAGCACATTAACCCTAATTGAGTCACCCTATGTATTTACCAAATGCCATCAAAATCTGTCCCATACAATCAGATTGACAATTTGCCAAAAATTATTGCTTTTTTTTTGGCCCACCCTGTATATATGAAAGTGTATGGATATGTCTATCTTCAATGCTTTTCTTTTCCATTTTGACTGTCTCTTCCATTTATGTGGCATTCATTCCATATGCTGTGGTTTCAGTTATGTCTCAGTAACTTACATGTACATTTCTTCTTTTGGTTGCAACATACTGTGACAATGATATTGCTGTGTTACTTATTCAAAGGTTAATCTTTTATGCCACTTAGCCCTTCAACTCTCATGCCTAAGTTAACTCATTTTTCAGCTTTCCATGTCCATAAATAGTGGCAAAAAACATGGGCAAGTGTTTTAGACCCATATATGTCATGACTTTTGATTTCCTCTGAAATATTGCACTAGAAAGACTTTTCAATCAGCAAATGGAAAGGTGAAATATTAATCAGTCCACTTTGAAATAAATCTCTATTTATCAACAGTGCAAGTAAATTGTAAAAATCTCCAATTATCATGGAATTTTGGTGTTTGCATTTGTATGTAGATAGGAGCAGCTTGTCGAATTCCAGGAGTTACCCCAGCAGCCATTCTCAATCTCCTCAGATATGTGCAGTGTTCTGGTCAAATTCCCTGTAAGTCTTTCTAATTCATTGCTTTCTTGCATAGTTAAATGCACCCTTGCAGTGTTTTTTTTTTGTAAATTTTATTTGTATAAGCACACAAGGAAGTTGGTAATTCATATCATTAAGCTTTGTTAAGTATGATTACATGAACTATGCTTCCAATTTGTTTTCTCTGTAAGGAACTGGATGTGATTATTAGTGCAAGCCAGACTGTGAATCTCATAAGTTTTCTCATATACTAGAATTCCTTAAGAACTGAATTTCTTGCCTTTTTGTTATGTGCTTCATGTCAGTTTGGCCAATGTCACAAACACTGGAAGAAAAAAGTGCAAAATGCAATACATATTTTTTTAACCCTTGTTTGCTTCATATGTGGGATGTCTGTTGGATCTTATTCCACCAAGCATTCCTCCCCATTTGGAGGATGTCCCACCAAGTGTCATATCATTTTAGTTCCAAATTGATAGGGGAAATATCTGCTTGGGTGTTGTCATACCTGGATGCTTTGGATAATGTGCATGTGTGTTTTTGATCAATCCCACTTAAAAAAGTAGTCACTGACTCATGTTACACACTTCTTTTGACTTCTCTTCTTCCCATGTAACATGGGTCCGTATTTCTTGACCTTTGTATGGTATGCCATTCATCCAGAATATCAACATGTCCAAAATTAACAGTGTTGAATTAACAGTGTTGTTTTTGTTTGCAACAAAAAAAAGGTCTCCCTACTTCTATTTTAATCTGAAGTTGGCAGTCTGGATCAATTTCTTGGATTTTTTCCCCCATTTCTTTGTTGTGCATCCCTGCTTTATAGAATGCTTCCTTGTCAATGGGACTCATTGTATTTGTGTATCAGAGGGGATTGTAGACGATTCAAGTCATGATTATTCTTGTTGAAAGCAAGAGAAATGATATATTTTCAATATTTCAAGTTTTAAAAAGCATTGCTTTTTGGAAAATGCAGTGATTGTTAATTGTGTCGACTGATGCATGACTCTGCTTCTGATCATAACAGACTCAAAACCTTACAAAGCCATTGTTGCATACTTTGTCACAAATGAGAGCAGTTACCACTTCACAGACGGATCCTAGAGAAGGATACGTTCCCTGTGATGGAGGAAATCGATATGAAGACATCGATTCATGTCAACATCCCTGAGTCTTTCTTTCTATTTAATGCAGGACCCCATTATGGGAGGATGGTGAGATGTTCTCTTGGATTCTGTGGAGAATATCATGCCTGCCAGATACCTTATAGTTCTGCAAAAGGAGGATGCCCTTAACGAAAAATGGGTTCTTCAGCAACAGGATATCAGTGAAGCTGAGGAAAGGAAGTATCCAGAATGCCTTCCATAAGTGTTCCCTATGAGTTTAGGTGGCGTAATGCATGCCTGTAGGCAGTTGCAACTCATCACTTCACATCAGAAGTTTTGGTTAAGAATCATTAAGATGAAATGTCATCTGCATCAACATCCTGTCTCCTCTGTGGCTGATGAACATAAGCTAAATGCAGTGTTGGGCGCGTTACTTGTGAAAAGTAACTAGTTACAATTACAAGTATTTCATCCAAAAAGTAATTAGTTACCAGTAAAATTACTTCTCACCAAAAGTAACTAGTTACAAGTAGAAGTTACTTTTCAAGTTACTTTTCCTGAACAAAAACTCTGATCTTTCTACAGCTTCTCCACTTCGACAGAAGCTGGATGCATGGACTGAAAGCGAAAGTTACCCCTGATTTCATGAAAATTGAATTATGACCAGCACTTACTGGATAAATACTCATGCTCACTCTTTTCCCTGTGCCTCTTCCCTTTCCATGGGCTACTTAACAGGAATTATATACCGATAGACAGAATGCACCCTCTAGTTAAAAAAAAAGCCAATTTTGAAAAGCCACTTGAAATATGGAGAGGCAAGTAGGGTATACCCGCCCGCCGAGCCTAAAGGGGATCGGACGAAATCGAGGAGAGAGGTGCCAACGATAAGCATTCGAAAAGTTTCAGTGCAGATGCTCTATCAGAACCAAAGCAACGTCTATCATTCGGATCTAACGTTGGACCGAAGGTTGTCTGTATGGAGTCAGGACACGATGGAACTATCTAGACGTGCTTTCTCGAGTTAAATGCTGAAAAACCCCCACCCAAGAGATATCGGGAGAGAAAAGTATTACTTCTAAGGTGGGGCTAGGCTCTGTCCCAGAGGCTCCTGGGGGCGGCTATCTCCTGTAAAATGCGTCTCTGCATCGATGGAACTCTCGAATTCGTTTCTGACCTGCACATCGAAATATTTTTGCAAGTACGGCCAAGAAACCTGCACTGAATAAACCATGTTTTCTTAAGGCCATTTCATGTCCCCATCTTTCCCCCCAATATTGCATCAATTAGGATGAATGTGGCCATGAAGCGCTGGTTGTTTTCAGCAAATTTAGTAAATCACCAAGAAAAGGAACGCGTTACAGTAACGCCGTATACTTTTGCCATGAAAAAGGAACTAGTTACCAGTTCCGTTACCCTCCCCTGAAAAGTAACTCGTTACCTTAAAAGTTACTGAAAAAAGTAATTAGTTACTGTAACGCGTTACTTTTACTTCGTTACCGCCCAACACTGGCTAAATGTAAGGTTGGGTTGCCTCTTTCATGGAATGTATCAAGAAATTCCTATGTCTTCCTGGCTTCGTCTGCATAGAAAATGCCAGGTATCAGTCCATAAGTACTGGGGACTTATGCCAGTTGCATGTACGAGGTAACTCGATGTGTTGGCGATTTGTCGCAGTCTCACTTCGGGGTCAAGTAGCCTTGTTTGTGAGAATAACTGCCAGATGTCTCGTCCGACGTATTGATTTAACGTTGACAGGGTATTGGATAAGCAACTTAAGTCAATGTTGATGAGGCACTGGATCATCATCGTCAGGAGCTGAACAACATGGGAACAATATTGTGCAATCTGGGAGTCTACTTTCCACCTTTACAATAAAAACTTTCTTTTGTGGCATATTTTTTTCAATCGAGCATTGACCCAGTTTCTCCATTTGATGGGTTTGACGGATGGTCAAAGATGGGTTTCTTATTCGCCGTTCGAGGCGGATCATAACGACACATCCTCAATTGTCGCCTGGTGCAAATGCAAAACATCGCAATAGAAGGAACGGATTCTTCCATAGCTTTGGAACGTTTCCCCTGGAAGTGGGATATTCTTACCTCTCGGTAAGAAGTGCAATGCCGTACCGGGGATATTTGGCGCCCTGTGCGAGATATCTCGCCTCCGCTCACCCCTTCCAGGAGAAGTGGCAAAGTAACGGCTCGTGGTGGTGAGAGAGTTAAGTACCCCATACGTTGGTACGACGTATGTTTGCGAGATTATCACCGTCATAATTGAAGGCGGAGGATATGAGATGGTCGACATTGTTGATTTCGGAATCGGAACCTCCCAACCGACAGACATGAGACCCAGCTGTCCCCGCTTCCGAAGAAAACATAATACCTTCTTTCACGATCCAAATCTCGACTTAAGAGTAGCAAAACGTAGAGATATGAAAGACTCTGATGCTTTGATATGTAACTCGAGCACAAAGCGCGCCTGGTGCATGTGCTTGCGCCTGGATCTTCCAGAATCAGATGGAAAATTCTCGCGTTCGCACCTTCGAGCGTTTTGAATTCTCTAAAGGGTGTCCGATATATCCGGAATCGTTGACTTTTATGCCTTAACCTAGGGCATAGAAAGCCATAGCCTGATAGGCTTCGCGCGTATTACTAACGCGCTAGGCTTACAAGGCTATGCCTCTTTGGGGTATATTTGCTAGTCCACAAAAACATATGATCTCGGACACCCTGAACTTGGAGGACTTCGAGCGACGGTGAGATGTTCAAAACTATTCGATCCATGGGATGAACTTAATCCGGTAGCACGAAAACGTGTGGATTCCCACGATGACCGAAGAGAATGGAGCAGAGAATGAATTTTCTGAAGCGCCAGACTCCCCGAACGACTCGGGTGAAAACGGCAAACGCTCCCGGGCGCCTGGTGTAGTATGGATCTCCGTCGGCGCGAGGCCTCAAGATGCCGATCGCGGTCCGTCGGCTTCCCTCTGAAGAGGTGGGAAGGAAGGCCATGGGACTCCTGGAAGCCCCGGCATGCACTATTTTCAACTCCGCAGAGGAAATGCCACTATCGATATGGATATTACTACTATGATGTTACTAGGGAAAAATCTGCAAGTATATTTGAAAATGTAACCTTTCTTGTGCACGAGAGCCACTTAAAGAACGCACTTAGTCACGACTTTTTCGATTATCTCGAGCTTTCATGCGGAGTTCGAGCCTGTAAGCGATATAAAACATCGGAACTTTCTGGTTTGCGATGCACGATTACTGAACCATTAGCTTCATAAAAGCGTCGAGTTTCACCTAATCCAAATGCTATGCAGCACTGTCGAAGCATCACCCACGCATGAGCTGATGCCCAGCATGAAAACGTGACAGACGAAGAGCATTCCCCTGAGCACCGGCACGGAACACGTCGGAAGTGAGGGTGCTTCCCCTGTTCCTAGTCGGATTCATTCATGAACAGACGATTCGCGTTCGATAAGACGGCGAGTTTCGCTTCTGTGAGGAAGGCCAAGCCGGAATCCGCCGCATCGAAGCCCCATCTGACCACCTGCAGCATCAAAACGGTAAAGAAAAAAAAAATTCGGCAAGCAATTTATTTAGTTTGAGATCGTAAAGGCGATCTGATCATCTGAAGACTGATCATCCGAGCCCGCGTGGTTAACACGGAAGGCTCCATCGAGTTCAACAAGGCAATTTCTGGGCATTAGTTCTGCTGGTTGAAATTCTTCCTACAGGATGATTTGAGACACCTGAAAAGAAATCCCGTATGCCATGATTCATTTTGAACGAATTTAATTCCCTCTTCTTCCTCTCGCGTCACACATGCACGTCCAAGCAGTGTCGGCACTTGAGATGCCCGAGATCAGATGCGCAGGGGAAATATCGGTAAATTCGCACGACTTCCGATGCCATCCCTCTGCGCGTGACCGAGAATAGGAGATGTTGCGATTGGGAGTGTTGACCTCGTTGACCTTTTGTGAACCGTGGACGCCTGACCGGCCCTGCGACGACTCCCGGCATTTCATTCGCCGACCACAACGCTCCAACCGTTCGACTCGCCCATTGTTCGATTCGTCGATTGAGGATTTCAGCTGTAAGCAGACTGGCTAACAAGAGACGTCCTGGACTCGGTCGATGACCAGATAAAGCGTCACCCTTCCAAAAATGTTGCATCTTTTTTTTAATGCGATCCACTCCTGGTTGACTAACGTCATCGGTGCGGCCCACTCAAGGAGAAATAAAGTATCCATGAGGCCCTCGCTTAAAAAAGGTCGGATCGAAAGACCGTTCCAGAAGCGATGGGAAATAAGTCCACGTGCCAGTTGCCTATAGGAGATAACTCGCAACTCGCTGTGTTGGCGAAGTGTCGCTCTCTCGGATCAGCGTTAGGTAACTTTGTTCGCGAGAATAACTGCCAGATGTCGATGTAACGTTGACAGGGTCAAGGTATATCGATGCGAAGCATCAGGATGTGACGACGGCTCAAATAGGCGCCATGTTTAGTCCAAGCCCAGCCTGCCTTCCCATTCTCTCCCTCCCTACAGCCACGAATTTAAACATTTTTGCTTGGAGCAAAGCGGGGTGAAAACTCGAAAAATAGGTCTATCGCCTTTCCCAATCGGGACCTCCCCTCTTTCATCTCGAAATGCGTTGATTTTCATGAAGACGTGAATTACGGTCGTGTCGACATGACTTTTCCTTCTGCCTTATATCATTGCTCCTTCTCATGCTCCATCGATAGTGGGTTGGTCAGATTTCAGGTCAGGCCGATTCATCTGCCACTCTCGTGAGGGCCTACCAGAAAATAACTGATGGAGTGGCAGATCTGTGCCTAGCCTAGTACTGCAGGTGGGGGTTCCATCATCGATTTAATTGGATGAGAGAAGGGGCTATAAAATTCAACTTTTAATGACATTCCCTTAAATTTAGTCACAGCTCATCACATATCCTTGCTCCATGTGAATTTCCCCTCAATTCCTTCAAGAGTACAGCTTTTTTCGTCTTGATTTCAGCTTGAAGGAATCTATCTTCCCTAATTTGGCTTCATTAAAGAATGGAAAATAATATTGATGTTGCTATGGAGACAAAGGGTTTCTCGAACAGCAGACTGTTTTATACAAGAATTAAATCTGACAGCAGCTAGTAGCGGATAAGGTGCATGTAAATTCCTTGACAGTTTGATTTTTAAAGCAGCAATTTTTTCTATCCTCCAAAAGATATTTGAAAGTGTGATGCGAGGGTGTCTTTAGTTATCAGAGACACTAAGGGGATCCCAATTTCTCATGTCATAGATTTCACCCTCTTGGTAGGATATAAATAAGAGCAACATGTTTTCTAATGAGGAGTGTAATGGATCTGCAAAACTCTGATGCCCATAAAACATCTAAATGATGCAATGCATCCCTGCAGTTCCTTTCTTTCCATTCCTGATACTACAATGAACCCTAAGGAGCCCCATACTTGGTCAGACTTTTTGGGGTACATTTCCCCTTTCTCAATAGTTTTCGCCTTCCTCAGAAACATTCTATGGTCAATGGCATCAATACTTTATTTTTTTCATCATTCAATATCATCTACCACAGCCAGGGCCGTTTCTAGGCATATTGGCGCTCAGGGCAAGGAGTTCCGATGGCGCCCCCCCCCCCCCTCACGCCTCACCCACAAAAACCAACAACTGCGACGCGAAGCACCAGGATTGCACTAAGGAGTTCCGGGGGGCCCCCCCCCCCCCCCCCTCACGCCTCACCCACAAAAACCAACAACTGCGACGCGAAGCACCAGGATTGCACTCAATAATAAGAGGGCGTATTATCAGTTCCCCATGCAGTTAGACTTAGGGTCTACATGCAGTGCCGTAGCGAGGGGGGCTTCAGCCCCCCAAGTTTGGTTCAAGCCCCCCCAACTCTGGTCGAAAGGCGTCCGCCCCAACCTGACAAGGCGAAGTTAGCCTCCCCAACGTTCCGCTTAGCCCCTAATTAGCCCCCCCAACTTTCCGCTTAGCCCCCCCATTGACGAAAACCTGGCTACGCCACTGTTTACATGAGGTTGTTCAGTAGGGTATGAAATTCCGCAACACCAAAGGTTAGACCCCGCAAAAGGGTCAATAGTTATCAAGCCAGATTCATCGTTGTAAGACGTGATACCCAACCCAGTCAGTGGTCTTTCATAGCATCCGAATCCTGAACACATTGACCATGACTACCGTGCGCCTCAGTGAATCCCATGCCTTATCCTCTCCTTGACGCCATCAGTAATGGCCGCCACTGACCATGGCCAATGGCCGCCATTCAACTGAAGTGAAACGCGGTTTCTGGTCCTCTTCACATTGATTTCTCATCGAGTCAAGGCGACGATGGATCATCGCATCAACATCGGAAAGCATTTAGTAGTGTTGCGTATGGGGAAATTATGTTCTTAAAACGTGACGAGGATTGTTTTGAGACGAGGGTTCGGAACGACAAACTCAGCAAGTAAACCCCGTGGTGACTTAAAAAAAAAAAAAGGTTTTACTAAGTAATGATCCCAATAGGCCGATCACAATTCACACTCACATAATACACCTCACAAGGAAAAGAGCAGAGAACACCAAAAAAAGTAAAAACCTATTGTTAGATTCCAATACAAATAGTGTCCCCCGCTTCCTCCGCCCACCCAGCACTGCACCCGCTGCCTTCCAGGACCCTTCTCCTACCCGGTTGTTAGGTCTTCGCTTGAGGCTGTTTTGGTTCGCCAGAATGGGGGATCAGCGTGTATCCCATTCTATACAGGTTTCATGAAGCAGACCCTAACCCCATGGAATATTCCAGGGTCCTGTTGCAGTGGTGTAGCATCGCCTCGAGCCTTTTCCAGTAAAGTCCTTACATCGCATCAGCATGGAATCCATATTGTTCTGAAAATCGGGAATCTCCCTTCCACTGCTACAATAATTTAAAAATTCGTTTTGTGCATATACAAATTTGGCATCGATCCAATTTCTCATCGAGACGGGTTTGACGGATGGTCCAATATGGATTTTATATTCGCTCTTCAATGCGGATCATGGGACACGTCGTGAATCGTCACCTGCTACAAATACAAAACAATAGGGATTGATTAAGGAACGGATTCTTCACGGCTTCGAAAACTTCATCGGAAAGTGGAATATCCTCACTTCACATTTAGAAGTGCATCGTCTCTGGTGGAGAAAAGATTCCCGTAGGAACAGAAAAGAATTACGGAATCCGCATTTCACAAAGTGTTTGCCTGGTCTCGTTGCACGATACATCATTCCAACACGGATCCCAATCGTCTTCCCCTTTCAATTCCGGTTTAGATTGGAACCTGTGCGAAAGGCCATCGCCATGACGTTCCTGATGGACTACCATCTCGAGGCATCGCTCCGTCTGGCCTTCCCTTTCAGAAAAATCCGGTTCGGCCTCACACCAATGAGGCAGGGAATTGGACACGACGTCGCCTGGATGGGAAAGACAGCAAAAAAACATCGAAAACGATCGGCACGCAAAGAGTCTCCTATGCGAAATGAACCGACCATGGACCCAGGTGAAAACCCCGTCCTCGTCCCTGTCATCTGCCCCAAGCCACGTATGCTCCGACCCCATGTAGGAAACGATGCGATCGTGCCAGTTTCGGTCTCGGTCGTCCGCGACCATGCGACCCCGTCCGTCTGCCTCGCAGGCGTCGGAAGCGTCGGCGAACGCGAAGGACCCGTTCGGCTTCCGTAGGAAGTGAAACTTGCCTGTCGTCGCCGTGGCGAACACGTAGCCTTCCGGGACGAGAGCATCTAAGCAGACCGAGAGAATGGATTTTCTTTGTCCTCGCCCAACGTACGAAGGTGTGTTAGCGAGATTCTCACCGTCGTAATAGAAGGTGGAGGAAACGTGATGGTCGACGATGTCGATTCGAGAATCCAGACCTCCCAGCCGACAGATGTGAGTCCCAGCTGTCCCTTCCGTTTCCGAACAAAACATGACGCACTCTGCATTCCTTCACGATCCAAATCTCGACCCAGGAGTGAGAAAAAAAAAAAAAGAGATGAAGCAACTGAGATGATCTGAAACGCACCTCGAGCACAAATCCTGACAGGTGCACGTGCTTGCGTCGGGTTCTTCGAGGATCGGATGAAGAATCCTGGCATTCACGCCGCCGAGTCTTTGGTATTTTCTTTCGAATTTTGGAGCTTTGAGGGGTTCAGGCGACGGTCCGACATCTAAAACGATTTCGATCCACGGAACGAACCTAGTCGGGGCGAACGAAAACATTCGAGTTCCCAGTGATGAATACGAAGCAGAGTGGGAGAAATGGTCAAAGTGCGAAGCGCGGAACTCGCCGAATGACTCGTGTGAAAACGGAAAACTCCCCGGGGCGCCTGGTGTAATACGGATCTCTGTCGGCGTGGCAGTGACTCGATATGCCGATCGCGGTCCATCGGCTTCCCTCTGATGCGGGGGGGAGGAAGGCCATTGGACTCCCGGAGTCCCCAGCGCATACCGTTCCCAATTCTGGAAACGAAAATACCGCTATCGGTATTGAAGTTACAATTAGGATGTTTCAATGGAAAAATCTGCTCGAGGATCAAAGAATATTTTCCCACGTTCATGGTCCCAAAAAGCATTCATAGAACGTGCTCAGTCATGGCCTCTTTCGTTTTGCATTATTTTCGTGCGCAAGATGCGTCTGTGAAAAATGTGAAGCTTGTCCTGAAATTTTCTGACTTGTACGATTACTGAGCGATTAGCACCATAGAACTTTACATTTTCCCAAAACACCTTGCGATCCAAATGTATTCAATAAAATTCAATACTGTCCGAGCATCACCAACAACTGATGCCTGAAATGAGAACGAGACCTGCAGACCTTCAGGAAGTGGATCCTCATCGTGACCGGAACAGAACAGGTTGGAAGTGAGGGTGCTTCCCCTGTTCCAGTCGAACGAGTTCATGAGCTCGCGACAATCCGGGTTGGATGAGATGGGGAGTTTCGCTTCCGTGAGGAAGATCGTGTCGGGATCCGCGGTTTTGAAGGCCAAGCCGGCAACCTGCGTCATCAAAGAGTTGAAAAAATCTCGATAAAAATGATCCATTCGGCAATCAGGTGGTTTTGGAAGTGGTTTTTCGTCTCACCCATGCTTGCATTTCGTGAGAATTTTTGAGGTCGTAGAGATGATCTCGCGTCGGGAGACAGATCGGCCGAACTCGGTCGGTCGACACGGAAGGCTCCTTCAATTTCAAGAGGGCAACGTCCGCGTCCTCGTTCTGCCGGTTCAATTCTTCGTGCAGGACGATTTGAGACACCTGCGAAAAAGAATCGCAATCGTGAGAAACCCGTCCGAACGAGATCCGAGAAGACATCCGCGACAAAACCTCTCTGATCTGCACGAATTCATCCTCCGCCGAGTCGTTTCGAAAGCGCTGAGACCCGAGGCGGACCCGAACCTCCCCCGGGTCCCTCGGAGACCCAGCCCCGGCGAAGCGATGAGCGGCGGTCAGCACCCATTCCATCCGAATGAGGGCCCCTCCGCAGATGAAAATTTTCCTTCCCCTCGTGATGCGATGAACGGCAGCCTGCCACGGCCACGAGCTGGACCCAGCTTCGTCGATTCCAGCTTCGTCTCTCGTCCCACACGCTACAGTGTTCGAGAAAAAAGTTTGCACTCGAGATGCTCGATATCAGATGCGCAGGAAAATTATTCGTAAATCGGCACTGGTCCAGTTCAATGGAATCCTTCGGTGTGAGGACGAGATGCGTTTTCCTCGTGGTGATTTTCACCAATTTGACCTTTAGGAACAGTGACTGAGTCACTGTCCTCGTCCAAACTTTGTACACTCGGTTCGCCGACCGCAACCATTCGACTCGTCGATTGAGGATTCCTCTGACTGCCACGACTGCCTCTGGCTTCAACTCGCCACGTACGAAAATTTCTTAAAGTATTTTCCTATGGAATCCTATACCAATGTGAATGTCTTTTAGGGTTCTCACAGGATTTTTTAAAACGGATTCCTATATGAATCTTACAGGATCCTTTGAGAATCCTTTGAGATGTTTACGATTCATCAATCCCATCGGATCTCAGATACGATTTTTTCGTACTGGCAAATCGACTACTTAATCGTTTATTAATATTACAATGTTCTGTGAAGGAATTCCCTCATCATAATTAAACTATCGGCATATTTGCTTGCCTCTCTAGAAGCTGGAACTCCTAAGAGTGACCACAACGCTTTCACCATTGCCTCTGTCAATAGCTTCCATCTCTCTGTGCATGCCGAGGTTCAAGAAACTCTTGTAGCAGCTGCTTTGTGACAGCGGTTGGCTGGCCCTTTGTGAGGGTCTCTCCCATCTGGTGGTTAATTATTTCATCAAAGAGTGATGTGCAAAGCATGGTTAGGTGAAGGGCCGAACACATTCGCTCTAATTCATGCCTCGGTTGAACCTCTAAGTCATTGCTTATGTAGTTCTGCCCGATGAATCGCGAGTCGGACAGCGACTCCTAACGACACAGCGTATTGCCAAGAATGCGGAATTTTCCAAACTCTGCAGGGAAAAGTGACCGACCGAATCCGGAGAGGAGGATTCTTCCTTTCAGATCCGAAAAGAGTCAGGAATACCCAGACGGGAAGAAAATTAACTGATCGCATGGGACGCACTTTCGTTAAGGGAAGGAAAAGCCCGAGTCGATTTTTTTTGGTCGGGAGAGGGCGAAGGTATATTAAACGCCGACGAATATGAAGAGTCGGTGAGCGGAACCAAGGCCATCGGCTTTCATTTCACAAGCAGTTTTATTGTAGTTGGCAGGAAAGCGGAAACAGGCTGCAGTTGCACGAAAGGATGCAAATGATGGAAAGGCGGATATTAGAAAGGAATGTCTCCATCCGGATGAATTCCACTTCGGACTCGACATTATGAGAAGGCGGAAATTTTGGTTGCATCATTACTGCAATTTGGCCACGATCCGGGTCGACTCATTTTCCATGAAAAAGCTGGTTTCGCAAAAAAAAGTCATTAACAAGTTTCAATTAAGATTTGTATTTTCAATTAGTCATATGGTACCATGTTTGACTCACATTTAGTCTGACTTGGGCAATACGCTGTGTCGTTAGGAGTCGCTGTCCGACTCGCGATTCATCGGGCAGAACTACATAAGCAATGACTTAGAGGTTCAACCGAGGCATGAATTAGAGCGAATAAATTCGAGAGTGGTAGTGTCAATATGCTAGGGGGAGGTTTTCTTGAACGTTTTCCAGATGACTCATATTCAACCTGTTCTATTAATAGGATGAGCATCCAGTAGACCAAAGAGAACCTCATTCTATTTTATAAAACCCGTTCTGTATCTTGTAGGTTCCTTGATTTATTTTTTTTTTTCATGTCGGAAACGTTACCAATTTTGTTTCCTGTAAGTTTCATGCGTCTCGGTTTACTGAATAAAAAGGAACGGTTCTCTGAAGTGGAATCGTTAAATTATCCTTTTGAGGTTATACTGTGTTTGAGACGCGCCCTTTCGATTTCCCTCCTTCCATACCGTGAGGGCTCCATTTTCTACCACGTCCTCGTCGCATCGATGCCGATGCTACAACGTACGGCGGAGGAACGACTCCGCGTCGTATGATACTACGACGAGGACATGGGAAAAAAGTAGCGTTTATGGTATCGCAGACGGGAAATCATTTGAGCAATGTTGAAACTCTGTTCCCAGCAAAATTTGTCGTGTTTCTAATGCGATACGAGAAAAAAATCACGAACTCGAATGATCCACAGCTGTGAAGCGCAAAAACATTTCTTGCAACCACCCAATACATGAACGTGGAAATTTCTGACTTTGCACCATCCTAGCCGAGCCGAAGATGACCCCGGATCGGTCGTCGCTCGTACATCATCTGCGTTCAGATTAGTTGAAATCGCTCGCGATGGCACGCATGCGCAGCAAAAATGCCATTCGAATGACTTGAACTCCTCCTTGAAAAACGACTTGCGAAATTCTCTATCGAGTTTCGGGCATCCGGCACCTTCATTTAGAGGTTAAAGCGATGGAGGTCACTGGGGTGCCTGGTCCTCTATGAGGACGATTCTCCATTTTGCGCTGGATCTTTACCTGCGTTTCGACTGCAGCTTTCGGGGCTCGGATTGAACAAGGATCGATGGTTTCATCGGATGAGGCAGGATTAGTATTTCGCATGTTTTAAAAGAGGATCTTCACTATTGAAATAGAATAACTTTCGATGGAGTGGAATATGTGTCGCGTACGGTCTTTCGCCGCCGGCATCAGGTATCTCAACCGTATGAATGCATTTAATTATACCTAATATGGAAGCGTAGAGGCCGACCACGAATCGGAAGGCGAGGAAAGGACCCAAAAGCTGGCTGGTCTTCATTCTTCCTTGGATCCTAATCCTGCCATACGATACCGCCGCGCCTCTTTCGCCCTCAGCTGTGTATGGTCTCTTTGAGAGGTGGAATGCGAAGGAACGAAGGTCCGGGTCGCAGCAACAACAGCCTTGCGCTGCGATTCATACACAGGGAGAGATTCCACCGCACACTCACTTCGTCTAGATCACCAAGGAAATTATGTAATGGGAAAGTCAGACGTCTTCGAATAAGGATACACTTACAGAATCATGACTGCAGTGTACTAAAAAAAAAACTGGCATATCAACATCTGTACGCTACAACAAACAGAGTGGATAGGTGTGCCCGCTTTGCACGGGCTTCCTATTCAAATGACAGTCCCTTAGACAGGGACACGCTTTCACGTTTCATATAGGTAGAAAAATAAAAATAAAAAACCCATGGGTTGCCCTAAGTCATGAGGAATAGACACAAGGTATACTGCACGCGTATCTCCTAGACCTCGACAGACACTCCCAGAGGGTCTGGTGGGTCGCCTGCCGGCGGAGGAGGAAACAACCGCCACTGGGACTCCATTCCTCTCCTCAAGGGTCTGCACACCGAAGCCAGAACCACTCGGCCACCAGAACCTCCCCCTCCCCCCCCCCCCCCACCTTCCCTCTAACCGTCTCATTCCTCTTCTTGCTAGATTTAGAGGAGGGCCATGCGAAGCCCTGCCTCGATTCCGAACTGTTCCGACCGATTCTCTTCATGCTGTGGATGCACCCTCCTCCCCTTTCCACCATCTATCAAGGATGATTTGATGAATACGTCAATTTCAAGAACGTAATTAAGACTGCGTGAATTTCATGCATGGTCGTGTATCACAACTTGGATTTTTAATATCTCTTCAAAGGAAATATTTTCCATTTCCATTGTCTTTTCTTCAAAATGAAGACTAATTAAAACATGTAAATCATATCCATATTGCTGCAAAGGGATTACAACTTTTTGTAGTATTACATCGTGAATGTGAATGTGAACATTAATGATGAACACGATCGGTAATGAAGAACTAATAATTTTGCTGATGATCGTAACTTCTGATGATTTTTTTGGTGATCATCGCAACCTGAATCGGATTGGAATGAAGTAGTGCAACTTAAAAAAGGCAGCGGTGAAACATCAATTTTTTTTAAAGGCTTTTAAAAAAAAAGATAAATTAATTTGGAAGAGATTAAGTTGGACTCCCGTGAATGCACGCAGAGCAGCCTCCAGAATCCGCATGAAATGACGCTCACCCCGAAGCACCTTAGCGTCCGCACCGCCACGCAGTCACGGTGAAAGTGACAACCCCGGCACTGCATCGAGCGAGATCATCGCTTCTCGACGAGAGAGGGAGAGAAAGAGAGAGAGGGAGAGAGAAAGAGAGAGAGGGAGTGTCAAGGTGAAATGAGTCGTTTCTCCATTCATGTTCCGTAATTGTGATGAGCGTGAAAGGGTATGAATCGCGCGGAGCTCTTATCGCATAGTTGCGCGCTTCTTGCATAAGGTCCTGGCCTTGTATTCCTTTTTTTATCATTAATCTAATTGTAATGTCCTTCAGCTATTTAAAAGTGCATATTTGGGCTACTAAAAAATAACAGAGATCGATTCATTTGCTGTGTCATTGATCTCCGGCGTGGGAATTTCCACATGATCTTCGGAAATATATATGAGATGATTCCCTCCAAATTTGCGCAAAATGAGGAAAAAGTGGTAACATTACCATCTGGAATTTTCCTGCACATTTCTACCCGCAAATGCATAAGCGAAAATAAAAAACTAGAGCCAAACTGTAATATTGCTACGAATCTCTTGAGCTCGCTTTTCATTCCGGACTTTGCGACAGCCACTCTACCCGGGCCCCTTGTATCAAGGGGTCCCAAGGGGGTCCTCCAAAGGGCCTCAAGGGGCCCCCAAGGGGTCAACGGTTTAATTTTGCCCTGGGACCCCTGAAAACCTCTGGGTGGCCCTGGTTGCGACCGTCGGATCTATTCTCGAGAACGTAACAAAGGGAGCGAGAAGCATTCTACGCACACCTAAGCATGGGATCCGATACGGACTTTTTCTTAAAACGTCTCCGCTTATTACATTTGTTCGTCCCCTATCCCGAGGAAGGATGACTCCTCGTCGGTACGAGGCCCATATAAAGTATTTGTCGGGATCCCGACCCCTTCATCGATCGAAGCCCCATCCTCTCATCCTCACGAGGAGGGTGACTCCAAAGAGTGAAAACGACGGAATCCCACCAGTACACCACAGGAGCGCTCACTCTCGCATCGGAAAGACGGTGTCGTGACGATCCCGTCTCCCGATCCCCAATTTCTCGAGCGGGCCTCAATTTCCAGGCCTGCCTTTCCCGAGACCGCTCCGCCGACGAAGCCGATAACGTTACGCTGCCCGTGCCTCGTCGCCGTCGACCCATTTCACCCCAGGACCAAAGCGCGAAGCGAAACGAACGGTTCCATCGACGAAGTTCCA